GGAGTCCCACATTTAACTGTTCAGCTGAATCCCATTGAAGATCCCGTTGCACTAATTGAAAAGAGGAAAATTTCTCTGGTGTCCTCACCAACAATTCTCCAGAGAAAAAAAAGGCTGTTCACTTGATAACTGTCTACCCACCCACCCCAACATTGGCAAGCAAGTTTTGAACCTTTCTGCCAGGAACGCTATTCTGGAGTTTGACTTACTCCATTTCTAATACAGTGTATTCTGTGAAGCGCTTTGAGATGTCTCGACGTGAAAAGTGCTATATCAAAATGCAATGATTATTATTATTATATCTCAAACTGGTAAAGGGATCCAGTTGAATTTTAAATTGAGAAATTCTATAATATCTGAATTATCTTAATGTGCTGGACATTAAAATGCTCAAATCCCTGGAATACACCTAATCAACATCCTGTAGGAAGAACTAGAGAATGATGTTTCTGTGTTAAGAATATAGGAAATCTGAATTGTTAAAAGTATTATATTCAAACCAGTCAGTGAATATGGGGTAGAGTTTCTAAAAGGGCCCGAAGATTAACATCGTTCCAAACAGTTTTGTCAGTTAACTATTGAGTTTCACAAGATTGTTGTTACCTGATTAATGGTTTTGAACCATTGTTTACTAATAATTATGTGTAGAAATAATATTTTTCTGCAAATATAGCACTGATACCAAGTGCTTAAACCAGCAAATTAGCACTGCATGTAGAGTCTCTTTATTTCCACTGACAGTTCCATTTCTTGCACTTGAAAACTGGGGGATCAAGGCCTCAGCACTCAGAACATTACATGAACTGGAGGTTTGCAGATGTACTCACCATAAATACAGCCACTCGCATCTGTCTGGGACAACTTTTTTCATATTCAGTTTAATAAAATGTTGAAATTGGTATCAGTTAGAACCTGTCCAAACACTTATCTTAAAAGGAGATTGTGATTTCATTTTTTGTTTTAGTTCCCAGACTGTTTTTAGTTTTAATAGTTTCAAGTGTGTGGATTTAGCAAATTGTTGCACCGACTGACCTCATTAGAGTACACATCTTCTGTAAAATAACCTTGTCCTTAATTATGAACGTCTGCAGGAATTATGGTGTATGATTGCATGAAAATGAAACCCAAAATGTCCTGAACTTAACTGCACTACTTCATATCTCAGCCTATTCCTAAATTCCACACACTATTTTTTTTCCAAACAAAAACTTTATTCCTTATGATAGCCAAATACATGAATTATAGCAACTTGAAACAATACAACTTTATCAAACCTAAAGCTTAAGCATAGAGTTTTATGAGGTTGCACTTGACAGTGATGGTGTTGCCTTCAGACAAGCCAGTCCCACTATCCTCCCGATATTTTAAAATAAACCAAAGTAAGCGATAGGCTTTTTAAACAAAGCAATTTTGGCTACTTTACAAACATCATTCAACAAGTGGAGTTCTTGAAATTTCTAAAGATTGAAAAAAATAGCAGCATTTTGGGCAGCAACTGCAGTCTCACGGTGACAAATCACACAATATGAATGACTATCGGTCATTTACATAGCAGGGTGAATTTGTTTAGTTGCATCCAGCATATTGTGGAAAGTAACCTGTCAAATAAAAATGTAAAACTGTAAAAGGACAACTGAATTTTGTCGCATATGAGAAGAACGGGACAAGGAGTAGGAGGAAAGAGGTCTTTAAAACGCCCAACTTCAGCATAATTTCTGCAACTACAATTTATTACTTCAAGAAATGATATGGCTCATTATTAATTACAAATTAACATCCTTTCAGATCAGTCTTGCTAAGTTCTGCATCTCCATATGAAAATGGATCTTTTAGAGATGCAACATTGAACAAAAATGGCACACAATGCATTTTTTTTAAAAAAAGCACACAAAGCACCACAGCAGTAGTACCATTAAAACAAAGAAGCATGACACATTTTAAAGGAGCAAAGCTTCTTCAAGATACAGCTATAGCAATGCAAAATACAGAAGAAACACCATAGACAGACAGAAACAAACGAGTTTCAATACAGAGGGAAAATCTGTGCGCATAACCGGTTTGAACACTAAAACACTGAATAGTTTTTAATTACATCTGTAAAGCCCACTACACATGGTACCTTTGGAAGAGCTTAAATAATGATGCATGCTCGTGGAACCATAATTACTCTGTTGCAGTTTTCTGCATCTAGATTGTTTCACACTACCAACTGCATAAAACATTCTGAAAGTTACAAATATACGGCAAAAAGAGCAACAGGGTTAGTGGTACACACAACAGGAAAATGATACTAAAGCTTCTAAACCCAACTCTAGCTGAAACTTAGTGGAAAGCTCAATACTGTGAATTCAATAACTCCATCCTTATACCGTTGCTAAATTAAGTGACCAGTACCATTTCCCATACCATGCTGATGAAGCCTAAAATTCTTTACTTTTTGGACCATCAAGAAGTTTGTGTATTGTACTTATTTATAAGTGAAAACAACAACTTGCACATATATAGCGCCTTCCACAGAGGGTAGAGTCTGAGCGCTTAACAGTGACGGAGCCTGACTCTGAGGCAGGGGTGGAGGGGAGGTGACTGTAAGCACGGCCGAAAAGGAAGGTTTTCAGTCGGGACTTGAAAAATGGGAGGGTGTTCCACAGTTTTGTGGCTTAGTGGCTGAAAGCGCGACCTCCAATGGTGGAGCGGAGGGTGCAACGGATAAGCAGGAGGCCGATGCCAGTTGAGCGGAGGCGATGGGGGGGGGGGGGAGTGAAGGGGTCAGAGTTAGGGAGGTGCCAGGGAGTGAAGGGATTTGAACACGTGAGGATCTTGAAGTCGATCCATTTGGTGATGGGGAGCCAGTGAAGTCTGGCCAGAACTGGTGAGATGTGGGCATGGAGTTTGGTCCGGGTTAGTATGCCGGCAGCAGAGAATGAGCTGGAATTTTTGAATGGTGGAGCTGGGGAGACCGGCGAGGAGTGCATTTTGAGTAATCCAGGCGAGAGATGTCAAATGCATGCACGAGGGTTTCGGCTGCATTTGAGGTAAGGTATGGTTGGAGGCAGGCAATGTGGTGGAGGTCCAGGAAAGATCCGCAGGAGTGAAAACATTGACGGGAGCCAAAGAGTATGGCTAACGTCTTGTCCACATTCAGCTGCAGGAAGTTTACACTCATCCAGGCCCTGATGTCTACCAGACAAGCTAATAGAACATCGGTGGACCTGGAGTCAATGCTGGAGGAGGCTAAGTAGATTTGTGTGTCATTCGCATACATGTGGACGTTTTCCCGTGTCTGTGGATGACATCCACAAGAAGGAGCATATGGATGAGGAAAAGAATGGAGGATGGATCCAAGGATGGAGCCCTGGGGTACCCTGCAGGTGACTGGGCGGGGCCAGGGGGAGAAACCATTTACCAAGATGAAGTGCAGGCGGTTGGTTAAGTAGGACTCGAACCATGCAAGTGCGATCCCACTAAGGTGGATGAGGGAGGAGAGGCGGTGGAGGAGGATGGCGCGGTCGACTGTGTTGAATGCGGCAGAGAGATCCAGGAGGACGAGAGGGCAGAGGACGAGGAGGAAAAATCCACATTAATGGTGAACAAATCCTCACGATTCTTAAGTTTACTAACAGGACCTTCTTTTTGAAAGTAAGCTATCACTATACTGTACTTTGCAGTTCTGGAGAACCAATAAAGCAATATTACATTTTCACTTGATTGTCCTTTAGCAGGATTCAGACTTGGTCTCTGATGAAGACAACTGAAGTTGCATAGTTTATGAATACTGGTTAGGAAATATACCAATATTGTGAAGATTTCTCAAAAATGATATTTCAAAGTTTACCATGATTATTTACCCCTGTAAATGTTAGCTAGATTTTTTTTACCTTAAAAAAAGTATCAATTAGTTAATTGCCATTCACTATCTCCTACCTTTCTAAATTTTCTACGGAAGTTTCTGCTTTTCATGCAGGCTCCTTTAGTAGAACAATAAGGTTTGGAAGACCCAACTCTATGACTACAGTGAATGCAGCCGTTGTAGCCTCCAGAAGTAGACTTGTAGGTGACAAACCAATTATTTTACAATTTTTACTTCCTCAAAGACGAAGTAAACAACAATATTCGTCTTGCTCCCCAGCCGAATACTTACAAAACTCACTTATAGGTATTGCTGGGTGTACTTGAGCACTGCCAGACCTCAGACGTGAACCTATACCCATCTTTTTTGAGAGGCTGGCATTCCCTTGTGTTAGGAGGTGGCCTCAAGCAGTTCAAACTTAATAAGATAACAAATATAGATATTTTGGCTTTAGTTCAGGAGTTGCAAAATGTGCACGATTTTGGTGTTTATATCACAAAATACCATTTTTTGTTGTTAGTGTGAAACAATGAAGTATATTAAAACAGTGCAATGAGCTCAGTATGTTAAAGAACTATGACTCTGATATCAAGACATGACATTTTCCACTAACACGCGCCAGGCCATTAGGTACTCTTGTTCAACTAAAACCAATCCAGGCCTGAAGTTACACACAGAAAAAAATTACTCCTGAAAAGGTTAAGGCCTGGCATGACTTTTTGATTTTTTTTGTTGTTGACATTTTAGTGTCTTACACATACAAAGCATGGTTGCCTGCTAGTAGAAGGTGGCAATATGGAAATGTTTGAGACATTTAAAAAAGCACCATCAAAGATAGTAATGGGAAGCATGTTGGATGCTTTTTTTTAAAAAAGTTACTTGGCTGACATAACTAAGTGAGCTAATCCAACTGTTAACAAAATTATACAGAATTAACTGTTTCTCATTAACTTTAGAAGCTGCGATCACAGGCACCTTTTGTGTTTTGAAAATACCCAAACTGAACAGCGTTACAATAATATGACAAAACTTATAGGCAACAACAAAAGCTTATATTGTGAGTACTTTTTGAAAATATGCAATATGTAGCCTTGCATAGCCATGTCTGAAAAACATTCTGCATTAAAATAGGAACAAAAAATGCAAAATATGATGTGGTTAGATTGATACCATTTTACTTGATCTAACTCTCCCAGACCGACGTAGCCTATACACATTATGTACAATGATTTTATATACTGTGTGCCACTTTTTTTTTTGAAGTCATCTTCTTCAGGTCTTTAACAGTTTATAAAGCAGGCGTAAAAGGCCTGAATATACAAATCTGGCACTTGGTTTTGAGCGTTCTGTTCCTCCTCCTCTTCCCCCCTCTCCAGAAATATTCCCTTTAGGTTTCTCATCTTGAAACCAGTATAGATTTCCAAAGTGCTTGTTACACATCACAACGTCCTTATTTGTTTTTTTAAACAAGTCATTTATATTTGAACCATTGTCCAGTCTGGATAAAATGGATACACCACCACTGGATAATTCATTTCTTATTTTTTCCTCCAATGTTCTTGCTTCAAATTCTTTTAACATCTCCCTGGATTTGCAGTGTCCGAAGTTCCAGCTGGTAAATTTTCTTGAAGAATGTAAACAAGCACCAATAAAAAAGGCCTCAACATCCCCAAAAGGAGATCATTTTGCAGTCCTCCATTCATTTGTGCTTCCTTAAAAGCACTTTAGGAATTTACATTCACAGCTCCACATGGTTCTCTCCCAGTTAAATCTGTAGAAAGCTCGATTCAGCAATGCACATGAAACTGGTTTGTCACTTCAACAGCAGTCAAGCTGAATCAGAGCAAAGGAGTAGGAGCTGATTTGAAGACCATAGTCCAGCAATCAAAAGCCAGAGTGTTCAGTGTTCATCTTCTCTGATTAGCGTATACTGGATGGGCTAGTGTGACATTGAGGGAGTCATTGTGCTGTACAAGTGACGTATGCTGATAATGCAGCACAAGTTCTCTGAGTGAGTTGTACAAGTTATATGGCTCTGCAAACCCATATCCTGTGGGGGTTTTATTTATAACACAGTGCTTCACATCACCATCGACCCTATAAAAAGACAAAAACTATATTGTTAGAACCAAACCATTAAAAATTGTTAGTAAATTACCTAGAGTTTAACTTTAATTACATCTGATATCATCACTATGCTTTTCAACATGAGCAGCACAGAAGACCATCAGAGGTTCATAGTTTCAAGATGAGAAAAACATTTACAAAGAGTGAAATTATATTACTAATACCACAATGGTAGTGTTATCTGCAAAGGCCAGGCACTTATTTTCGAAAAAAAGCAGAAATGAATAAGGCATATAATAGAAAGCTAATGACAAGAAATTAAGGTTGTTAAATAAAGAAATGGGCTTGGCTAGAGTTTGGCTCAACTGTGACAACCCCCACACAGTTATAGTGCCCAAAAGGTAAAGTAATGCAGATGCTGCAAATCTGGTACAAACACAAATGTCGCTGGGAACATGCAGCATGCCAGGCAGCATCTATGGAGAGGAAAATGAGTTAATGTTTCAGGTCAATGATCTTTTGGTCCTGATTGAGTTCAGACAAAAGATCATCGACCTGAAAAGTTAACTCATTTTCCTGTCTCCATAGATGCTGCCTGATCTGCTGGTGTTCCCAGCGACTTCTGTGTTTATACCTGTTATATTGCGTTAGCTCTCATTGTTTGGGCTCACAGTTGGGTAAATCACCAGTTGTATAGCATTTGTGGAAACATATCCTAAGCATGAATCGCCACTTTCAGGAGAAGAGGCAATAAAGAATTAGACAGCAAGAGCATTCACAGAAATGGTTATGAGGAATTGGAGTAACTGACATTTTGCATAACTAGTATAAAGAAGAAAAATGTACATACACCACTGAACAAGCATAACAGCCCTGCTTGCTGCTCTCTCGAACCAGGAATGTTCCGTCCCGCTTTCCTCTTAGCAGGTTCTCTGCCTGACTCCTGTTAATATTCCCTACATTCCATGTTCGTTCATCCTGATGGGGTAGGTCTTCATCATCATCCACCATGGAGTATTGGCTAAAGGAAATTAACACGTCTTATTGTAAAAACAACAAATTCTAGTATAATTTCTTCTATTTTTGAAAAAAAATTAAACTTACTCTTCAACATTCTCATTCTTGATACCCAACCACTCGTTGATCTTTTTCTGTCGAACACCTTTCTGTGTCAACCACCTTGAAAAATATAAAAGTATGAAAATTAATTGTAGCAAATCTTTTTTTTAAAAAAAGATATAAACCTCTTTTTCACCTCTATGCTTTTCCTCTTTGGCTAAGCTTGTCCAAGGGGACAAACTTCCCATTTGCCAAGTACATTCCAACTAGTTCCGCGTTGGCCAAAAGGGGCTGGTTTAACATGGGAGAGAGGTGGGGGAGAAATTAAACCTCCTGCTTTTTACTTCCTCACCCCTAACCATATAATGCATTCAATTCTGCAATCTAGCTGGAAGTAATTTGTACATAACTAGAATTTTAGTTAGAATTGCAAGATGCCCAAATTTCTCATGTTTGCAGCCTGAAGACCACACATACATAGACAGGAAAAAGTATCAAATCTGCTCCTAGGAAAATTCTCCCCACTCCATCTATACTTTTCATAGTACTGGCCACTCAATCTCCTCTTAGAGGAGGCAAAAAACAGAATATAATAATCCTTGTGTTTGATATAGCACCTTATCATGTCGTTGAGACAGCTAAAAGTGCTTCACAGTGTAGTGACTGTGTATTTTGTGGGCAAAACGAACAGCAACAAAAATGGCCTACTCGGGGAAATAATGGGATACCTGGAAAAATCCTCTCCAACACTTGAAAGCAAGTTCTACAGGAGTGCTGAGCTACTGCCAACATAAGAGCATTGCTCAATATCCCCTTATACCTCATTCCCTGCTATCGATGTCACATGAAAGTTTAGGCTCTCAATTTGCAGTTGCTGATCCCTCTCTTCGTTAACAAAATCTGCCTAGGATGCTTTGAACAAGTGGATGCTATTTGCACAAACAGTATCACACGTGAGCCTGTTCCAGATGTCTACCACACTTCCTCATGTCCAGCCTAAAGTGACGTTTTAAAACCAATCTCTTACAATGCAAGGCCAAGCAGAATTTTGGAACATTTAGTTTCAGTTTACAAGTGTGAAGTCAACTGTAACAAAAATTAAGTTTCCAACCTTCTACAAGACCTTACACTGTAAGACAATGTTCTTTAAAACCACTTTAAATTATTTTTGGGGGATGGAGTATTCCAGCTACAGATTCAAAAGTGTTAAATACTCTACTTACATAAGGTACTGGTCTCTTGTCTTTCTTAATTGAATAAGATCGGGTTTGATGCTGTTCATCCTCTTATCAATTTCCCGATAATCTGCTGCTTGTTTCTTCAAATCTTCTTCTAATCTGCGTTTGCTGTCAACAATTTCACTAATGCGAGATTTCAGCTTCTCATAATTTACCATAATTCTGGAAGGAAGAATTAAAATATTAGTAAGACTATTAAAAAAACACTAGATAACAACATCAATTTGCATTTATATTACGCCCCTCACACAGGGGAACGTCCTAAATAAAAATAAAGGTGTCGATAGCTTTTTGTGATTGGAAAATAATCCTTCCACGACACTTTCTAAAATAAAAATAAAACAAATGCTAGATATTAAAATTTAAAAATTACAGAAACGTGTGAAACATCTAAATAAAAAAAATCAACATTACAACTTTGTCATCAAAATAATGCCCCCTTTCCTAGAACCCGAGGTGTCTACCATTGTTAAATTCATTGAGTGAATGAAAAAAGCTGAATGGCAAACCTCTGGATTTCCTTTTCATTTCCTTCTCGCCTGAATTTTTCAATATACTCCTTGCTGTACCTTTCCTGTGTTTGACACTGTTCTTCAAATATTTTGATTGTTTCATTAAATGCTTCAATAGCTGTCCTTTTCATTTGGATTTCCTAATTTAAAAAGCAAACAACATTTTTAGTACAACCAACAATGCATTAAACACAAAACACTACCTTGTTTTACCACTAGTAATTGTTATTGAATACAGTATTCCCAATACAATGAAATTAGGCCAATCAAACAATCTTTTCAATTCTAGATGAAAGGTACCCTTATGTCTGCAGAATTCTCAATGCAGCACTGACAGAAATGTCTTCTAACTGTATGCCAATGCTGCAATATTCACCTGAGACGTTCTTGTATATTCTTCATAAAGTCGATCATATTCTCGACTTTTTTCCTGGTATTGAGTGTGATATTCGTGCAGTTTCTTCCCTACTGCCTCAATACTGTCTTCTTTTACCACCTGATCCTGTCAAAAATAGAAGACAATATGAAGCAAAACTCTTGTGCAACAAATACAGCTGAATATTGATTAATTTAGATCATAACCTCAAATTAATTAAACTTTCTCCTATTTCTATTAATTTAATGTTACTACTTATTTTAATAAATGTTCTCCTTTAAAACTGTGCCAAGAGCAACAATTTAATTTTATTCAGGCCCTTCACACAGAGATAACATTTTGGATGGAGCCGATTTACAGAGCCGGTGTTGGACGCTGAGCAAGGGAGGAGGTGAACAGTTAACTAAATTCTATGCAGTACTCAGTCTTGGAGCATGAAACTATTTGCAATTAGATTTGCCGAGTTGCCTAATGGAACACAAGCATATTACCTTTCACCTGCTGAAGGAACTGCTTACTAATTCAAATGTAGTGTTGATTCATATTTACAATGCTAGCATATTCTACCTAAATTATCTAGTCTTCATCCATACCTGTTGGAACTTGGAGACTGGGTACAACAGTTTAACATCTAGTTTTGGATTGTACTGTGCCAACGATTCATGCCGATAGTGATTTATGAGCTCCACCACTGAACTGAAGGTTAATGGGTCTGAGAAGCCATATTTGCCATCTCGATGAAAGATTTTGATCAATTTATTGTTGCCACCTTTCCTGCAAAAGTGTCATATATAAAGCAGTATGAGTAGACAAAATTATTTAAGGTTACATTTAATTATAAATATCTTTTCAAAGAATAAACACCTCATGACAAATGTTAGAGGGTTACCTTAGAGTAAGGGTGTAGTCTCCATGCATTTTTGTAGAGGCATCACGTACAAGGAAAGTACCATCAGTGGTGTCTCGCAGCTTTTCATTAACTTCCTCTCTGTGGTGAAGAAATTAAAATTCAATTAGCCTACTGTTCTGATCAGGTCTCTAATATGTATAAAAGTACACTGCCAAACACAGGTAAGAAATTCTAACTAAAGTAATCTAGCAGCGATTATGAAACCCTCCATTGGAAACATCATTGAAATAAAAACATTTGCTAATTTAGGTGTTGGCTAATTTGGGTATCAGATCTTCTCCTCTCCCTCAAGAATAAGTTCAACATATAGTTTATTTGCCAATGGAATTTCTGTATGTGTAGTACCTGTAAACCACACAGCTAATGATTTTGCCAGGTGTATATCAGTCTTGTTCTGCTTTAACATGCTTCCAATAACCATGAAAGAAACCCATTCATCAAGGTAAACCTTGACTTGGTAAACATTTCCCTTTAGGGCAAGTTTAGGACAGAAGGCATTTCTTTATACAGATTAACAGGAAGAATATGTTAGCAAGAAGGATGGTTGATGAAACAGCTCAATACAGTAATAAGAAGACAATAGGGCGAGTATTCTGAAAGAACAAGATCAAATGGACAAAAAGGGTCTTTGCCACCTGAGCCTCCCTTGCAAGCTTGACTTCTAAATCGAGATGAAACTGACTTACCTTGAAATATCTCCCCAGTACCATTCAGCATCCTGTAGAGACATGTTGCTGTTTATTCCGTTATTTATTACAGGTGTTGGTTTTGGCGGTTTTGGTGGCAAGGCTGCATATAAAAAAAAAGGCGAATTCACAATGCTGAACCTTTCAGTGCATTCCACCCAACCACTCCCCCACACACACTAATACAGTATACAGTATTAAGCCTTCTTTATAATGTTTTCTATGGGAGGCATGTGTTGTCGTGATGCATGATTTTACAAAGGGGGTTTTGTATAGTTTCATCATCAATTGAGAAGTCAGAAACAATATAAATTACTTTTATTCTGCAGTTATACTGCGCAGATACAAATCGCATTGCACCTGAAACCATTTCCTCCCAGCGGTGTTAGGAGTGCGGCTCTAGCACAATTTGTGTTGTCTAAAGGCCTTTGTACTGTGCATTCGCCTTTTGCTGCCAAACATTTCAGCACTGACACAACATTAACATATAATCAGCTAGAATGTGTTACAATTGGTAAGCAAACCAAAACAAGTTCTCAGAAAGTAATGCAGTTGAATTAGGCCATGGACTTTGATCAATCAGGTTCATTTTACACCACATCACTGAGAAACATTTTGTGGCTATAGTACATACCACATGTTGTTCGATTCTCAACTACTTTAGCTGGAGGAGAGCTAGTTTAGATTGGTTGAGTTAAACTATTCTAAAATTCAAGCAATTTGTTACTGGACTTATCCTCTTTCAGTCAAGTCTTGCATTTTCAGAAAAAGGTTCTCATATAAGATGAAGAAAATAAACCATCTAGAATCAGGTTCATCATAACCTCTGGCCTTGCTTTAATTTTTGATCGGCCTGGAGAACGTTTCTGCTTTCTAGAAACTGACACACTCCAAAGAGGAAATACAGAGACTGTATCCCCAGAGGTAAATGCATTCATCACCACATACGTATACATTTAGTATGTGCATAATGCTGTCAACAATCACTTCACTAAACACCTGCACATATCTATCCCAAAGTGGTCGTTTCTAGATACCGCAGGATGGAGTTGGGTTCCAAGGGCTAGTCTGAATGCACATCTGCGCGCCAGAGTACAACACCGCAATATTTTGGACTAACTCAGTAGAATAGGAATTTTAAAGTCCTGCCAATACACCAAACCGCTCAAGTACAATCAAAATGTAAAGATTCCGATCTCGCCACCAACGTCTCTTTCCTTTCGTTTATTAAAAAAAAAGTCGAGAACATTTGAGAAAATTAAAGACGCCTCTATTTAAATATCTTTGTCCTAAGGGAAACAAAAATCATTTCAAGACTAGTGGCCAGAAGAGTGTCACCTTTTGAGTTTTGGTCTTTTGAACCACAGCAAGGGACGATTCAAATTTTTGAGAATTCTACAGTGAAATCTCTTCAAACACGGGAATCAAGCATTACAATTCTTCAATGAAATACAAGCACAGTAAATCAACTCAGAGAAAACAGGACATTCAAACAATCTGCTCAGCATCCATTTGAATATTTCTCCAAGAGTTCAAAAGCTTTGGAGGCCATTTCCCCGATCATGTTTATATTTACAAAGATAATTCTGAAATATTATTTTCAAATATTTGATAAAATTCATGCAAGTGGTAGTTGTGATCAAATGTGAACATTTTATAAATATGACAATTTTATGGTTAAATTACTATTCTAAAATCATGTCTTAAAAAGCTTTTTAAATGGAGCATACAAAAACAGATTCTATAGCCAATAAAAACAATACTGCATTTTTTTTTAGCTTCAGTGGCCATTAAACTGTCTAAGAGGTTAGTCATTAACACAGAGACAGTACTAAGCTAGACCTGCTCTTTATGTTTTATTAGCTGAATCTTAAATATGGTCACTGGAAAGTAACTACAGTTGTATGGAGTACCAGTTAATTGCTTTGTATACTGCTTGGTATTCATTTAAATTGCATAATGATGTGTGTTGAACAGATTGTCAAAACATACGCTTTTGAAGAAAAATAAACTTGCGAGCTTTCAGAAGCGAGCTTTCACTGCATCACCTATTTCAGTTCTTATAGAAACCACTTTGGACAAAAGTCTGATATGCATCACAAGATAATGTCCTGAAGTCTCCATCGGAAGGCTAACTCCATAACAGTATTTATTTGTACCATTGGGATTGTTAAAAATCAAAATGAATAGGATTTTTAACGTACATTAAAGTTCCTTATTAAAGGCCTTGTAACATGCATCATATAAAACATCTAACTTTATAGTAAAAATATCAAATATTAAAAGAATCTTACCACAGTACAAGTGAATGGTGAATCTTAAACTGAGGCAACATTTCATCAATTTGGCTAGAAAAATATATTATTGCAATAGTGTTTTGTTTTTACTTGAAAAAAATCTAGCTAGGTAAACCCTTCTGTTCTGTCCGTCTTTCTGAACACACGTAAATGCAAAGTTAAGATATCTTTCTAATAGCGGCAATGAAATCCTGCACCTTGCTCACTAGTTCTTTTCTCATGCTTTCTCCAACACAAGCACAATTTATCGTACAGACATGGTTTCAGTTAAAACCAGTGTGATACTATTCCAGTTGATTCATATAATACGAAGCGTTGGTAACTTTGTAGCCTAGATTTCAGTAGAATGATGCACTTCCCTTACATACAGCTTGTGCTGCCACCTTGCTAGCTTTCTGCAGTCCTTGCAGCAAGGTGGTAAATGAAGAAAATAATTTACAGAAATATTCATTTTAATACTCAAGTTATAGATTACGTTTTTAATTTTGTTGCAGACTTTAAGAAGTCAACATTTCCGATAAGTATGAACAAAGCTTGTGGTATTTGTTTCTTCATTGAGATTACCAGCAACAACTTGAAAAAAGCCCCTGTAGCTCTGTAGCAGTTTCTTTTAATTCTTAATATCTCTAGGGTAGAGGAGAAAAATAAACTATATATTCCTGATAATCAATGTGTTCAGCCCGATTCTCAAAAGGCAAATATAATACATTTGACAACTTTCTGACCAGCTACAATTAACAAACACCCACAGCTGTCTGAACACACACACACACACACACACACACCATACACAGAGCAAAACCAGGGTTTGGATTTTATTGCAGCATTACCTGGTGGATCCATTTCTATGTAAAACATCAAATCTGTAGCACAGTAAGTTTCTGTTTTAGAATAGTCTAGTTCTACTTCTTCCATATTCCAAACTGTCTTGCACATTAAAACCAGGTATCACTGCTCGGGGTCAGTCAAAAGAAGAAATGCAGTCTTTCTATAATGGTGTCTTGGAATTCATTTTAAAACCTATGAAGGGCTGCACTGTAACCTCTTACATCATACTCCACAGCCAATCCAATCAGGATAATGTCACCAGACCACTCCTGTTTCATTTCCTATATTCAGTGGCGTTTCAGTACCACTTTATTTTTATGTATCAATTCCAAACTTCAGTAGATTGACCATAAAATAAAATCACACACAAAAGCACAAATGCACAGCAGATTCAAACACCGCAAACATGAAAGCTCAAGAATTTCCTATTTCATGTCTAATGCTTACAGCTTGGTACGTCCCACTTTGGCAAGCTGACAAAATCTGAACTGCAGCACGTAGGCTATCAATGCATCTGGCATTACAGGCAGCTAGCTCATTCCAAGAAGTGTTAACATTTAGAAGGATTTGCACTGTATTTTAAGTCTATTTAAATCCTAGATAGCAAGCCTAATATCATTAGCAAAAGTAGAACACATTTTAAAAGTGCATCAAGACCACTGTACCAGTGCACTGAAATTTATGATTTCTAAATGTAGATCACTAATATTTCTTGCCGTTTCTTGTATGAAAATGAAACCAAATACATAATTGTCATAATTTACAAAAATTAAATCAAAGATAGGTGGACTTTTTAAAATGACTTTTGATAAATTTCCACAGATTAATTTTAACTTTGCCAAATTTCTAGTCACCACGCTTACAAAAAAAGGAAAAATCAGAACACAAAATTACAAATACATATGGAGGAAACTGAAATCTATGGGGGGGAGAGAAGAGAGAAAGCACTATTTTTTTTAACTAAACGAAAAAATAACTGATACACTTGTTGCTTTCTGAAGAAGCAGCAAATAAACAAGAGGATTCGCATCCATTATACCAATGCATATGACATTTTAAATAGTTAACTGCTAATTTTTTTATTTAATAAAAGCACTGGTAAAATTCAATCAAACGTTCTGGTTTCTGCACAGCATTCTGTTAATCACCACATAGAAAAATTCTTATAGGCTTCTTATTTTGATTTTAAAGTAAATAAACTTTACAGTGTTTGACTACAAATAAAAATCTGGAGTTCTGCAACTAGGGCAGGAAATATTTAATCCCTTCAGGGCTTTACCAAAACAGTCAAACCATGGATGCCTATACTTGTACAATTAGGTTAATGCTCAACTCAAACCAGTCTAGCTTGCTGCGACACCATATGCTAAGCCAGCATAGACAGGACAACTGACGGACAGGTGATTTTCCACTGCCTATGTGTGACGCGCTCGGGTGCCAGCTATTAAAGGGAGGAAGAAAATTAACACTTTATCTTGCATTGCTAAATGAAATAATTTACAGTTATAAAAGTCATACTTGGAATCAAACTTACTTTTTATATTATGCATCTTCAATGTGGCTTTCCTGTTTCGATAGAGCTTTGCTCAACTATTCTAATGCCGTTTTCCTCATCACTTCGTCTACAATAGCATATATAGCTCAGGACAACTGGAAACGAAACAATTGTAAACCGAAGTCTTTTGTCTTTTCCAAGTAATTTCAGAGTACATTTAATGCTGGAGAGGGTAACTTCAGTTTAAACAGACCAGTCGCTGCATCTGAATGCAGGGTTCTTATGATAAGCCAGTCCAAAAACTCATGTGATTAATAAATGAACTCTTTGCAATGAGTGTGCAGATGCCTTTGCAGAGCAAAAAGTTAATGATTAAAAAATGAACTTAAGTTCAGTACTTACAGCACAGTCAGTGGTCTGGAATTAACTAATGATAAAGATCTTTTTTTAAACATTAACCCAGGCAGGCTAAAATATTTGCTG